AGTACGATTGAAACACCGTGCGCAGTGTAGAGCGATGCAGAGGTTTCGCTGTGGAGAATTTTTTTGACAGCTTAAAAACATTCTTGGCCAGTTTGCGCATCTTATTACATCATTTTGTTCTGCTTTGTGCTCAGCACATTTTCGGTTCGTTTTAATTCCAGATTAAAAATTGAATCATTTTTAATTCCTTGTGACAATTGCTAAGACAATTGAATTCATTGTGTTTTTGATTGAGTTTCTCTTTATCGCAACACTTATCAAAGGGAGTTAAAATATCGATTGTGCCAAATACACAAGGATTGGAAACAAACAAGGTGATATAACCTCACTTTCAGTAGATGTCCCTTTAATTTGTCGAAAAAAATTGGCTGAAAAATCCATGTTCTTGAAAAATTCTGCATAAATTGAACACAACTTCTGTTTGACTCATATCAATTCGTTGATGTGTATCTGAAGTGTCATTATCACGTTTGAAATTAAATTGTAAAATTGATTCGCTCAAACGAAGTCATTCTGACGTCCTAACTATCTCATTTTTATTTCATTACGCAGATGGATATGTCGTCGATTTGGAAGAATGAAAAGAGCAAAATGCTCGCTGCGATCAATCATCAAGTGACACTGTCTTTGAAATCAATAAAAACGACATTCCAACGTAGTGGCCCAGTATCTCAAGACCATTTCCTGAGTGCCGAATTCAAGAATGATTTTCTCAGCAGCGCAAACTCCCAGTAAGTTACTGAATGTTTTGTTTATTTCCAAGGCCAAGTCAACTTAAACTGAATTAAATTTGTTTTTTTTTAGGATTGAGAAAGCCTACAAACAATTTGAGATTTTTTCGAATGTGGAAGATCAACTCAATAGCCATGATACTCTCTTGAGTATGCTTGGACCAACAAATGCCAATAGACAGGCAATGAACTCAGTGGTGATCAATAAACGAAACTCGAACCATCAGATGGACGATCCCATTGAACTGGTTGACTCGGACGACGAAGCAGGTGTGAACAGAGCCCGCATCAAGTCGGAGAAACGTGCAATCGGAATTGATGCTCCTACTGAATCATCTCTTGACAATCCAGTCAATGATAAGCACTGTTCCGGAAGTGCTGCATACAATCGGTAAATATTTCTCAAATTTTCGTTTTATTTTGAAACTTGTTTTCTATTTTGAAACAACTAAATATTTGTATTCATTCAGTCTTTTTCAAACTGATGGACGATTAAAGGCTGTTTCAATGCTGAACGATCAAGTCAATGGGCGCGCTAAAGAAGATTTGGTGAATTCGAATGGAGGAGCTCATTCGGTCAATTCAGCAAATGTTACTGCTTCTTTATTAGGTCATAACGAAGATCGCGGCGCGAACCAACAAGAACATCACACTTCGAAAGACGGAACAATCCAACTCAACGACTCAAGTGTTGAAACAATTTCTGATGGGAGAAGTGCCATTAAGGTGGAACCAACGCAAAATACATCGTACGAAATGAATGATGGTGAAGAAATGCCGATTACTCTGACGGAAAGAAATAAAGGAACTCTAGCTGTGGACGGTGGAGCCAATGAAGCTTTGTCACGCAAACACGCCGCAAATGTTCTATTGTTCCAGGGTAATGGTGACGAAGTTTTTATCAAGGTAAAAGACAACATCAAACCGAAACAGGAATCGATGGATGACGATGTACCATTGGTGCTGGTAGCAGTTCCTCGAGAAATATATGCATCAAATAAAATTGGAGTCAATGGTAGCAGTAATGGTGGCCGAGATAATGAGCATGGAACTGGTAATGAAAAAACAACTTCAAATGGACAGAGTTCACGTCAAACTTCGGAACAGAAATTAAACGCCTATACGACTGGCAGAAGCTCATCGCATGCAGTCAGAAAATCTGGAATGACAAACGAACGGCTAGCACGAGAAGGTTCAAGCAACAAGAAGTTCAAACGTTATAAGTGTCGGCATTGTGATTACGTTACATCTTTCGCCTGGCATTTGGAAAGGCACATGCGTACTCATACCGGTGAGAAGCCATATCGATGTGATCTATGCTTTAAGCGATTCCCAGTATCTTGCAGACTTAAAAGACACATGAAGGTCCACGCGAACGAGTTTCCATTTCATTGCTCGCTCTGTTTCCGTGTGTTCTTGCTAGAGGATGACAAGAACTCCCATGAAATGGCTTGTAAGGCGCGACTATATGATTGCTACTTATGCAAAAAGACAATTGCTGGTAAGAAATGTAATTTGGAACAGCATATGCTAACCCACACTGGAATAAAGCCATTCCGTTGTGCAGTGTGTATGAAGAAATTTAACCAAAAAATTAATCTAAACCGCCATTTGAACAACGTTCATGCCTGAATCAATTCACAAAAACATCAGGCGTTGTAACTAAAACAATTGAACTAAGTTCAATCAAAAAAAATCAAGTGATGAATACTTCCACTTCAATGTACAGTGTACACACCCGAATAATTTATGAAAAATTGAAAAACAAAGTTAATAAAGTGACAGCAATTGTTGTAAAACTGTTATGTCTTTTCATTTTTGTTTGGTACTTGAAGGTCGAATTTCAGATAATTTTGGGTTTTACGTTCAATTGATCGGGCATTTGTTTAAGTTACATAAATGAACTGTTGAGACTATTTGTTGGATGTGTTTCGATACGATGTTGAATGATACATTTTCAAAATTCATTTTTTGAGTGAAGCTTTTGAACTAAAATATTGCAAAAATTGTCTTGCGAACGTAATTGATGGACATTTAGTTGTTATCATGCTATTTCTATGACCATTTAAAACGTTAAAATTCAATTTAATTCATCATATTGAATTAAGGGGCAAATCACTACTGAAAAGACTGAAAGCACTGAAATCCACTGAAAACAACTGAAAAGTACTGAAAAGAACTGAAAAATATTTTCAATACTTTTCAGTGTTTTTCAGTAACAAAATAAAATCGGGATTTTTGACAGTTGAAATATGTTTTGACAGATCTGCCATCCATTCATTTTTCTCCTCGAAAGATAATTCCATTTCCAGTATTTTCATATACTAATACATTGGGCACTGAAAGTACTGAAAACCACTGAAAAGTACTGAATTCAATTTTTCAGTAGTAATTCGCCCCTTGTATTGAATTGATTGGTGTTTCATTTGATTTAAATGCTTTCTATTCTATACGAAAAAAGTTCACAATTCTACAATTTGAACATTTGGTTCTGTGAAGTTAAGAATTTCGCAAAATCAAAATTTGGCTAAATTTATTCAATTTCTTGAACGAAAACAATTCCAATTTCTAGTTCAGTGGATTTTCTAGTACATACACGTCTTCTAATCCTTCTTTTTAAAATTTTCGATGGAACTAACTTCATATCTATATGTTGAGTCAGTCGCTGTGATGGTGACATTATGTCCTCCATTTTTCTTTTATTCAGTGATAATTCTTCACTTCCTCTCCATTCCACAGAAAATATCAATCTACAAGGAACCTAATTTTAATAAACGCATTTTGTGTAGTAGAATAAAGACAATTTTGATTCCATTTCACTTTTTTTATCTACGATCATAGAGGAATTCGACGAAAAATCACGAAAAATGAGCAAATTACCTACAAATATCGAAAATCAAACAAAAACCTTAAATGAAGAAAATAGTCTAAGCAAAACCAGACCACCACGTGGCGCATACGTGGCATTGTCATCGGCTTTTCTCAGTCTGAATGTCGATTGTTGCGAAGAAATCTTCGACAATTTACCATTGGGAGACCTACATGCGATTGGTCAAACGTGCATGCGAATGCAACGAGTTGCTGGAGCTCATTTCCAGCAAACATACCCAGCGTCTCATGTCGTATGCAAGTCGGATGGAATTTACGTTCGCTGCATTAAAATCAATGGCTTCATCCGATTCATACAGAATATTTCGTTTTATTCCGATAACTTGCTATGCTTTCGTTACGTTGAATCAAATTGTTTCGATTCACTCAAGCGTATTCGTTTCTGCAGCATCAAGTTTACTGACGAGAAAATCGCATGTTTACGATTAATCTTGGCGAAGGTGGAAACAGTGGAAATATTTTGTTGCACAATAAATGGCGAATTTTATGGAAAATTTCTCAGCAGCTGTACGAATCTGAAGCGTCTCACGGTGAAAGGATTCAATGAACCGGGCCCTATGATTGGCACAGGAAACGATTGGCTACTCCGGGAATATTCACAACTTGAACACTTGGAATTGACGTCAATGAGATTCGATTACAAAATCGACGAATTGGACACATTCTTCCGTCGAAATTCACACATTCGATCGTTTGCCATTGACTCAGATTGCCTTTGGATCAACAGGAATACGATCATGACGGCCCACGTGTACCTTGATAAATTGGCCATTGATTCGGAAAATGTTGAATCGGATTCATTTTATCATTTGTTGAACGAGCTGCATGCAATTGGATTTTATGAACAGCTGCAGTTTTATTCGTTGACCATTGACGAACGGTCGATGAACCAAATCGCCTTATTGACTGCATTGTACAAACTCTACTCCCAGTTGCTCGACGAAGACGTTGCTTGTCCATCTTTGACTAACTTGAAGGAACTCTGCATTGGTTTCACACCCGAAATTACCAACATGGACGCACTGGCAAAAGGACTCGTGAATCTTGAACGAGTTCTGTTTTTGCTCGCAACTGCCAATCAAATTGTATCCTTCGTTCGGTACTCAACCAAATTGACTAAGATCAAAATTAAAAGCCTAAAAGAAGAAACGGATTTTGGTGAAAATGTACTCGATCTCGGGGCATGGGACAAAGCGCGTGGAAAACTGGTGGGAGCACGCAAGATTATGGTTTATGTTGAAGAAGACGTTTACCTGGCAACTAAATGGGCTTTGAACGACATTAATCGGAGCCTGATTGAATTGAAGCGAACCGAATCGCACGAATCAGATCATGATTTTGGCAATTTATGAACTCTCTTACCTAGCGCTTGCAAGCCACTTCAGACTAGAAAACATTCACCGATTTTAATTCATTAACGAATATTTCCAAATAATTTGCCCTTAATTCATTTTCTAAAGGGTTTCCGTCTGTATTGAGATCGAAAAGTTTCATTTTCAACAGAAATCAACTCCTTCAGTGAATTTTGACTGTAAAAAATCAATCAATTTTCTCCAGCCAATACCAGAACCAAGCGTAAGTATCACACCACTTTGTGTCTATGGATATTGTTGTGGAGAAGAAAATCAATATCAATTAGCTGGTTGCTTAAAAAAGGTGTCTAATATTTCTAATATCCAATTTGGTGCAATAGATCTTCGCAATTGAAGCCAGTTTCGGTCCACATAGTAAAATCTGACAGCACAAATTCGTCGTTTCGTACACAATACAAGCATATCTCTGCATAGAGCACATCATTGATCATCACGATACTGAATCGTCAAGTCATTATTGTCCATTTCGTAAGTAAATGGATCAAAAATAAAACTAATTTAATTCTGAATTTTATTATTTTCATATTAAATGAATGATTCGTTCATTTTTCATGACTTTTCTAGCACTTAACTTTTCATCGCCATCGAAACCTAACCTCAATTCACAAAGCTAAACCATGTCCACTTCCAATCAAACAGCAAACAACTACGAGAGCCAAGTTCTCTCAGCAATTGGACAGAAACTCTACCTGAGCACGACAATGGCTGATGTAAACTTTGTGTTTGAATCGAAGGACCATCGAATCGATCGCATTCCCGCACACAAGGCTCACTTGATGGCCGCCAGCGATGTGTTTGAAAAAATGTTTAATGGATCGTGGAAAGAGAAGAATGAAGTGAAGATTGTCGACGTGTCCGTTGCTGGTTTTACGGAGTTTCTCCAGTTTTTCTACCTGGCTCACGTAAATCTGACCGTGGACAACGTTGCCGAAGTTATGAATCTGGGTAACATGTACAATGTGGCCGGCTGTTTGTCCGTGTGTGAAAAGTTCCTGAAGAGAAACCTCTCCGACGACAATGTTTGCGAAGCGTATAAATTGGCGATTCTTTTCAATCAAGAGAGTTTGAAAGATGCATGTGAGATATTCATCGAAATCAACGCTAAAGCAGTACTTAAATCGGATGGTTTTGTGTCATGTGATCGAAAGGTGTTGACCAAAATTGTGAAACTAAATTGGATGACATGCTCAGAATCTGAGCTATTTGAAGGATGTATGGCTTGGGTTAAAGCTACCACCAAACAAAATACTCTGACCAAGGAATTGGTGCAGAGTCAACTTGGCGAGTTGTTTTACGAAATTCGCTTTGGATTGATGACAATGGATGAATTTGTTGCTCTGATACCTTCATACGGAAAGATTTTTGGGGCCGATGAATACACAGACATTATTCAATTAATCACGGATAAAGATTTTCAATCAAATTTGTTCCCTGGCAACAAAGTGAAACGTCGAAGAAATTCGATTTTGTCTTTTTTTTTATTGAATGATCCTCATCATCTGATTAAAAAATCAAAACAGTGAATTTGTCTATCTTTTCTACGCTCATATCATCGGTCCAAAATCAAGAGTGTTAAACTCTTCATATAGTCACTTTCAAACCCTTACTTTGGAAACTATTTTTATAAAATAAAATTCATGTTCGTGCTATTCAATGCGGATATTAATAAAATTGATAATTGACACCTTGGGTAACCTTTGAATTTATTTATGCATTCTGGTTTTTCAACTAAGTTTCATCATTTAATGCTTTCGATTAGAACGATATACTTTCTTTGGCTCAATTCGTAATACAAAGTTTATATTCACCATATCGCCAACTCTGAAATATCAACATTTTACATTTTTTCGCCTCAGCAAAATATGGCTATTGCGACATGTCTTATACTTAATGCTGAACCAGACGACAAACATTTTTCGTTAAATCGAATATTAGGTGCTTTTGCAAATCTAGTGATTTCTGGCAATTTAGGTGGGTAATTCATACTACGAATTTCGTAGTTTTTATGCAAAAATTGCACTTTATGGCAAAAATTAAAGCTATTTCGATCTTATGTATCCAAACACTCATTTTGAGAACTACATTCGATCCGAATACAAGGCAGAGATTTATTTATTCCAGAAAATTACATGTTTCAAACTGAATTTAAAGCGAATTCTGTTCAGTACACCCCAGTGGTGGTTTTCCTACTTTTTTCAAATCTCTCAGTTTTAATCTCACTATTAAAATGCAATTTCCAGCCATGCCAAACGATTAAGAGGAAAACCAGACTAATCAGTTGACCTGAATTATTGAAAACTCTTCGAAATCTTTAACCAAGTTTCGATCCTCTCATTCGGTGGAAGAAATGTTTGTTAAGCATACCATCCGACTATGGATCACATGCAAGACATTGGCATAATTAGAGTCGTTTCTGCCTGTTTCTAAGGACAAACATAAAAAATCGAAATTCAAAAGCAGTTTAAAAGACGTTGACTTATCGATCTGCATCCACTTTTCAACCCGACTTCAAAGTGTGAACATCAGTTAAAATCGTTGTTGTTGAACAAATTGACAAAATCACAACGCTAAAGTATAAGCTTAAACTAGTTCGTACTTCGTACGAGCAGCGATTGTCAGACTTAAACATGATTAGTCTTCGCCGTCGACGTGTCAACGTGTCATTGACTTTTTTCTACGACATCATCAACGGTAACGCTAACTGTCCAACAGTTAGTGACCAAATCTCAATTCACCATGGCCGTTCGTTGAGACACAGTGAACCATTCAAGGTCAATGACAAGCACACGAAGTTGGTGCGCGAGGCTACAATTCCTCAAATGTGCAAAATGACGAACATGGTGCCGGAACTGTTCACAGCAGCGACCTCAAAGACGAATTTTGCATCATCGGTTCGCAGAATGGCGGACACCACTTTTGGATCGCTTTGTTGATACTTTTAAGGAGTTTCTGCAGTTCTTCTATCTTGGTCGTGTAAAATTGACCATGGAAAATGTTGCCCAAGTGATGAATCTCGACAATAAATACAATGTGCCTGGGTGTGTAGCTGTTTGTAGTAAATTCTTGAAAAATAATCTCAGCGACGAAAACGTTTGTGTTTTCTATGGATTGGCAATACTCTGCAATCAAGAAAGTTTGAAAAAAGCATGTGAAACAGCTATCGGGCTCAATACAAAGGCCATTCTCAACACGACTAGTTTCTTGACATGTGACGAAAAAGTAATAGCCCATATGTTGAAGCTGAATTGGTTGTCGTGCACAGAGTTCGAGCTCTTCGAGGCATGCATGTGTTGGGGCAAAGCAGCTGTCAAACAAGACGATCTAACCAAGGCGCTCGTACAAGCTCAACTCGGTGAATCTTTTTATGACATTCGCTTTGAGTCAATGCTATTGCAGGAATTTACTGCAATGATCAAAAAAAATTTCACGCGCAACGACTATGCGGATCATGGATTATTTTAAGGAATTTCAATTTTTGAGTATTGACAACTGCCATTTGATCTGGGGTGATCAAAGGTTCAAATATCCGAATACATGATGAAGCTTGGAATATCTAGTCTTAGTTTCAGTATATCAGACCGATGGATTTAATTGCCAAGTATTGGAAATTGCAATGGATTTATGGGCAGTAGGTTGTTGTTGTTGTAATCCTGACTGCCCATAAACCCATTGCAATTTCCAATACTTGGCAATTAAATCCATCGGTCTGATAT